ACGCTAAGGAGGGTACCAATGCAGACAAGTCACCTGTGCGGCGTGTTTCAGGGGAGACGGATCAGCTATCGTAAAGAAGCACCAGCGAACGCACGCGGCTCAAATTGTGCCACCTGTGCCAATCGTAAAACCCTATATAGCCTGTAACAATTGTGCCACCCTATGCCGCCTTGTAACACCACCATTCTGTCCCTGGCCAGGCCACCTTCACAGCGGTAACGTGCTGTACGACGGCGGCGTGTGTCGTCTCACCGACCTGGAGAACGCCGTGTGGGGCGTACCGCCGTACTACCGGCCGTACCTGGTACGACACCGGAGGCTGGCAACCACCGAGGCGGCGGACGTGTACGGCCTGGGGCACGTGCTGCACGAGCTGACCTTCGGCCGGCCGCTGCTGTCCGACCGGCTGGAGCGGCTGCCGCCCGATCTGATGCCGGAGCTCGGTGAGATGCGCGGTGTGAGGGAGAGGTGTCGTGATGGTGGGGAGAGGAGAGAAAGGGTAGGGTCGGACGGGATAGGAGTAGTTTTGTGTTACGTAGTGGAGTAAGACTTCGATTGCTGCATAAGTCAGTACTGTGTCCCACACCGTGTGTAAAGAACCCGCTCGCTTGTATATACAGTCGCTCTGTGTTGTCCAGCCTGTCCAGGTCATGTGTAGAGGTCGCTGTGGCTGTATTTGTTCTGTGTCTCACGCATGCCGTGTGGTGGGATCACTATATGAATCAGTACTGCGTGCCCCAGTGCTGGAGTCGCTGACTGAACTATCGTCCAGGCCGTGTGCTGGAGTCGCTGTAATACCGTATTGTCTCCCAGGTCGTGTGCTGGAGTCGCTGTAATACCGGATTGTCTCCCAGGCCGTGTGCTAGAGTCGCTGTAATACCGTATTGTCTCCCAGGTCGTGTCCTAGAGTCCCTTCTCTCGGAGGCGGCTCTGAAGAGCGGCCTGCCGACCGTGGAGGAGCTGCTGGAGACGCCTCTGTTTCGGGACGTGGTCCCCCCTCTCCCGGTCAGCTGCGCTATCCGCATGACACCGCAGTGTCGCGAGCTGCTACGGACGGTGAAAACCAGCACTGAGCAGAGACTGCAGCAGGATCAGAGGCTCTACCGGCACCAGCGCAGACTCGATAAGACGGAGGCGCTGCTCAATGATGAGGAGAAGCGCCGCGTGCGCCGACAGCTGCAGAGAAAGGTGGGGGACCGGGGAGGGGATGAGGAGGGTCCCGCTGGGAAGGGGTGCTCGCTGCTTAGTGCTGATATGGGAGGTGGGGTCCTGCAGTTAGTGTTAACGTCCTAGTAATAACACAGTTTAGTGCAGCGTGCGCTATGGGATGCTTCACAAGCCATAATGGCTGCTCAGCGATTGTGGGTATTGATTCGTGCATATTTATGACATATGTATGATTCGTTGAACCGTACCCAATAAAATAAATTAGATAGTTAGCAGACGTGTTTGTTAATCACGGATATCGCTTTTTTGTTCAGTGTTTGATCCTTTTGTGCGCATATAAAACCTACCATTTAGTGACTGGCATTTGACTTGTTATGTGTTCGCTCTTTCCAGAGGCAACAGGAAGGCCTCCGGCCAGACAATGTGTCCGATTCAGGCAGCAGCTCCAGTTCCTTCCCTCGCAGCACTAGTAAGTACAGCTGGGAAAATACTCTACTCAGTCTCCAGACTAGCAGTGTGCGCTGCTGCTCATTTGGTTAACTGATCATATCTCACTCAAAATGTAACACATGATGATCACACTCCTCATTGTGTCGTCATTAGCTGATACGGAAACCACGTTTTCATGTCACGACGATTACATCAGCTGGACTTTGCAATGAGAGAAAACCCACTTAAGTCATCAAGTACTTCCCGGCTAGGTCGTTTCTCATGTGACCACCGGTGTTTTTCGTTGAGGGCTCTCTTTGCTGATGCGTCGATCTCTCCCTTTCAGGTCCCGGTTCCAGCTCGAGCTCTGCCAAGCCGCGTTCTATTCCTCCCCCACCGCCTCCGCCGCCACCACCACCGCCAGCAGCGCCATCTGCGGACACTAATAGTTCGCCAGCGCTGCCACCAGGCGGCTCTGGTGACGGGCGACGGGCGCTGCTCGACTCGATCTCTGCGTTTGACAAGAGCGGCCTGCGTCGAGCCACGTCCGATACTGCCAGGTAATGATTGCCGGTTCGGGACGCGTAGCTAGATCATCACTGTCACACGGCAGCTGCTGCGTAGGCCAGAATGGGACACGTCGAATATCGATATATGCACGACTGCAACGCTTATTCACTGCTGCGGGCGCATTAGAGCTATGTTGGAGTGGAGACAGGATGAAACGTATTTGTGGAGCCTGCCTAGTTATATGGTACCGACCAGCGATATTGCCTACGAACAATGAGACTTTCGAACAATATGCATATGGATATTCGAAGTTCCATGCAACATAGCCTTAGCTGTGTTCCGGACTGTTGTTGGAAGAATATGTTGTCCTTCAGACAGCCAATTCTGATCAATTTGCTCCGGAAACCATGGAGTGAGCTCGATTGTTGATAGTACATCGGTCTACTAAAAAGAAATACAGCTGGGCTTAAACGGTCAGATTGGGTGCTCAAGCCGGCCAATCAGCGTTGCGCGTCTTTGACTGCTGCTATCGATCTGGTCATCCCTATGTCCTGTTGACTTTATCATCCTAAAAGTGCTTACAATCGGGTGACCTTATCCTAATCTGTCAAAGGAATGAGGGTTATAGCTGGCTGAGTGCGAGACGAATCACGGGTGGTTTTACCCGTCATGTACCGCCTACCGAACCGCTAAGGGTTTACGCGGGATCAGATAGTGGGTCACCCCTAGGTCAGGGGTCACCCTGTCGCATCTGTCATCCGTTTCTGTCGAAATTGTCGTCAGACTATCGAAAGTGTGCGACGCGACTTACTTCGAAAAGATATCCCTAGGCATAACACGTACTCATGAATCGATGGTGCTGAGTTTTGATTTGTCCCAATGACTCATGACTATGCTTATGTGAAGACTTGTGCGAGCCTGCGAAATGTCGTATGATGGTGTAACAAATGTGGGCGTACGCATTGGCAGCAGCCTACGCATTCACTGCGCTCCCCTCACAGTCTGAATCAGTCTGACCTCTGCAACTAGGATCTGTGAGGGACAAAGTCCGGAATACATCCGGTGCCCCCACCTACATGTGAGTCCATTGAGCAGCCCCATGATAAATGCCAGTTCATTGTATTCGGTAAACGCCGGTAACGGTCAACGCGGCGATATCTGTTATCGGTCACCGTTGGCAGCCCGTGAACGACTGTATTGTGGGAGGCGAACCGCGAACCGCCTCCCGGCTCCACGTAGTCTGGGGGAGAGATGAGGGGGGGGGGAGAGTGTGTGCGCCCAAAGTGCCAGTCTGGCGTGCTGTGATATCCAGTCAGTATCGGTGTTGGGTGTGTTGAAATACGCTGTGTTCTGTTTGATGTGACTGACAAGGTGCACTGTAGCACTAGAGCGGCGACCGATACACTTTAGCGAACACTGAAGGAATTTGTTACACTCTATTATTTTGCAACGGCTTAGTAACCCAGACGCTATGCAGATTATTATTGTCGAGTGGTCAGACATTCTTGATCCGTTATCATATAGTGTTTCATCTGCTTAAAGACTATGTAAACGAATGTAATCAAGTATCGAGTCAGGTATGCGGATTGCAGACATGTATCAATTGGATGGGCCACGCCCGGGGGATACCCGGCATTTTTTGTGGACCTGGGGTGCGGCTAATGGCATGCGCCATGGCGCGAACCGCGACCTAACGTGTTCGAAAATATATCAGCGTTTGAGTCATCGTGGAGAAAAACCTCGTTGGAATGGAATGGACTATCATATGCATTTGGAAGTATGCATTTTGTGATCTGCGTGTGATCATTGCTTAGAAGTTAATTAGCATGTGTTTAGCAGTGTGCTGCATAGTAATTCAGATAATTTTGGAGGGATTTGTTTCAATAGCTGAAGCTCGGGTTTCATTATTCCACTTTGACTAGTATTTGTGCAATGTTGTAAAACAGCTCTCAGTTTTCTTTACGTGCAAGTGATGTTTATTTTCTGCTATCCGAGAACGGGCACTGTTATGACATTTGTGTATGACATTTATTTAAATAAACGCCTGAACAGATACACTAGCAGATCTCGATATTGTGCCACTTATCGTACCGCTGAGGACCCTGAATGAACCTGTAAACTGGACGGTGTCGTCCAAAAGCAAGCGGCCAACAGTTGACTGCAACAAACATAACAACGTGATAGCCCAGTAACAATACCTAATTTCGCCACCACTTCAATACATAGTATATACCTCCACGACACTGGAACGCCCGAAAATCCAGCGTCGTAATAATACTACAAAACCAGTGACAGGACACCAACAACCGCATGTCATGCTTCATGTGACCACTGGCCATGACCCCTAAGTGGGTTTGGGCGCTCTAATAGTATCGGGGACATTAGGCCAGAGAAAATGCTCAAGCGTCATTCGAAAACCACTGATAAGACACTAGCCGCGTGAGGCAAGCATATCTATTTTCTTCACCTGATGGCCTCGTGGTTCATGGAGTTTTGCGTGAGTTCGTGCAGAAGGCGTCCTTTGTAAACACTGCCTAGCGTCATCTGGCAAGACTCATCCACAAATATCCCTGGCAAGGGTTTACTGTGCGATAATCGAGTAAATTTGCGCGCACTTTCAGCCCTCAAAGCCCTTTTCCGACGTCATACCGCTTTGTCGCTCTTTATCACCTGAACGGCATCGCCAATACTGAACGAACTATGATCAAAACGCTGTTGTCATGATGCTCGCGCTGCTGTCATGGTTCTGGTGGTGAATAGTCATAGTGTTAGCTCCTTCTCAATTATCAAACTGCGCTGTGGCCCTCTCGGTCATCTGTGACTGTGACCACTGACCACTGCTTCCCTTTCATTCCCTTATCCCCCAAGTCATCTCGTAAGCCTCTTGTCTCATACTAGACGCTCTGGAGCCGTGCGTAGCCGCGACACTCGCACAGATTCTTGGGACAGTTCCGCACCTTCTCCGAGTTACAGTTTACCTCGCACCAGTAGTCCATGGCGAACGAGTGCCTGAACTTGCCGATCCCTCGACAGTTGGCCACGCGCTTCTTGGTGCTGTCGGACCTTCTTTGCGCCTGCCCTGCCGTCGCGATTGCCGTTTCGGTAGAGTCGTCCCCAGGAGGCTGATAGTCGTCTCCCTCGGCACCGAGAGGCACCACCTCTGTGCTGTCCCGTGTACCGGTAGCGGCGGCCCGGGTGCGTCCTCCGGCGGCTGCCAGGAGGCCGATGTTGCGGTACAGCTCCTCCTGCTGCCTCTGCTGCAGGCTGGCCGCCGTGGTGGAGTTGGTGTCAGTCGCCGCCGCGCTGGCGGTGTCGCTCCCCGTTGCGGACACTACCCGCGGCACCACGGTGCTGGCCGAGGCCAGGCTGACGGCGGTCGGGGGCCGGCCGGTGGTCCTCTGGCGCCGCAGCAGGTCAGCCGCCGCCTGACGGGCTCGCTGCCGGTCTACACCCTGGCCCATTGGCACGACGATAGCTCGCGCGCTCTGAGGCCGACCACGAGCCGCACCACTCTGCCGCTCGATCGGCTGGATGAAGAAGAGGAAGCCCGGCGCGCGGGCCTTGAAGTAGAGCGTGGTGCTGCGGTTGGAGGGAGCACCGGGTGTATCATCGCCCACGCCATTCAGCACGATCTTCGCTCGGTTGCCGCTGTGTGAGATCTGCATAAGGGTGCGGTTTCGACCGGCCTCGACAGCCGGGTGGCTGAGGGTAACACGGGCGTTGGTGCACGCGCAGATGGTCACCGGACAGGTGGGGCGCGAGCGGCCCAGGCAGTTCTCGTTGCACCACTTGGTGACACCACTCATGAAGCGCCAGGGCACCACAGCGGTACACTGTACGCTGGTCTCCCACTGTGGTTCATCGGAGTCGGCTGACTGGTTCTGTCCCTGCTGCTGTTGCTGCTGTTGCCGTTGCTGCTGCTGCTGCTGCTGCCGCTGTCGCTGTTGCCGCTGCTGTTGCTGTTGCTGTTGCTGTTGCTGCTGCTGCTGCTGCTGCTGTTGTTGTTGTCTCATGATCTCCTGGTACTGTTGTTTCTTCCTCCGCTGCTGCTTCTCCCGCTGCTGCTGCTGCCTCTCCTTCTCATGTCGCTGCCTCAACTCCTCACGAAGTTTCTCCAGCCTCCTGAGCCGTCCCCTCTGCCTCTCGCGCTCCACCAGCTCTGTCGGTAGCAGCTCAGCGTCCTCCTCCAGCTCTTCCTCTCCCTCTGCCGCTGTGGTGGTCGGCAGGGTGACCGGTCGGAGGTCGTCCTGTGCCGGTCCGCTGACTACCGGCGGAGGGAACCGCTCGACGCCGTCCCCGTCCACGGGCGGCGGCTCGGTGAGGGGTGCAGTGCGTTGTGTGGTCGTCGGGGCAAAGTAGAACGGTCGTAGAGGACCGCGTGGACTAGTGACCCCACCGAGGGCTGCGCCGGCGACGGTCGGCGCGTCCCCCGGGGCTAGGTAGGTCAGTTGGCTGCTGGTGGGGAGTCTCCCTCCGCTCTGCGCCGCCTGGTAGCGCAGTCTCTCCTCTCTCAGTCTGGCTAGCTCGGTGAGTAGGGCCTGTACCGTATCGCTCTCTGCCAGCGGCTGCGGCAGCTCGTCCTCAGCACTTGGACTCGCCGGTGTCGGCAGGGCGGCGGCCGGCCGGCTCGGCAGCGATCCCTGCAACAGCTGCAGACTAGGCCTGGCCGGCGCCGCGCCCGCCTCCCCACACTGACACATACCCTCCGGGCAGCTGGGCTCGGGCTCAGCCAGACAGTTGGTGTGGCACCAGGCGTCCATACCGGGCACTGTCACCCACACACCGACGGCGTGACACTCCCGGTCGAACGCACTCAGACCGCCCAGCTGCTTCCCTCGCCGCAGACCGGCCGATCTGCCGGGGAGAGAAGACCGGGGTTAGAGACTTGACGGAAGGGTTGAAATATTGTGGCCGCTGTGTGGCCGAATAAAACGTTTACTGTATAATAAAACAAGTTAAATGAATGTTTTATGGCACTAAATATTAAATAAATCGACTGGTTTTGATCATTCATATTTTATGCCCATTTTGGTGCGATAACATACGAAACCATGGGCTCTTTACTCAAGCTCAGCAAGTGCTCTATCTATGCCGCTATTATCTCACCTGAACGGATCGTCTGAAGAGCCGTCGATGGTGTTATCTCCGTCGAACGCCGTCGGGATGTCTCCAACTCCCAGCGACTCGAGGTCCCTCAGGTCCACCTCCTCCAGATCATCGACGTCGACGAACGGTTCGTCGCTGTCGATGAACCCGTCCGAAGTGTCGCTATCGTCTACAACATTACCATCAACATCAATGAAATTGTTGTCGAGATCGATGAACTCATCATCAAAGTCGTCGCTGGAAGAAACCTGTCTGGTGCCGGTGGTGACGCGAGTCCGATTTCTCGCAGTCATGGCCTCGTACGGTCTGTGGTGGTAGCCGGGCCGCGGTGGCCGCCGGCGTGGGTCAGAGAGGCTCCCTGGGAGCGCCGACGGAGCAGTGACCTCTGGGATCAGGTCAGAGGGCCGTCTCGGCACAGAAGGTCTCGGTCGGAACGTCTGGGCACTCGACGGTCCGGTTATCTCCGGTAGCTGGTTGAAGTCCATTGGACGTGGGACTGAGGGTCGACGGGACGGTAAAGAGGGTGAGGCGAAGTCGGAGGGCCGGCGGAGACCCGCGAGGGGTGTGCCTGAGGGGACGGACGAGGGTCCGGCCACGGCACTTGGCCCGCTGAAGGATGGTGGTGGTCGTCTTCTGGAGCCGGAGGGTGCCGTGAGGTCAGGAGGACCTCTGAGGCCTCCGGAGGGCGCCGTCAGGTCAGGAGGGCCTCTGAGGCCTCCGGAGGGTCCCGTCAGGTCAGAGGGTACCCGCGGTCGTCCGCTGGTGCTGGTTGTGGCTGGGCCGACGGTGGAGAACTCGGTGTCAGAGTTTCGCGGCAGGACGGCCACATCGGAGCAGCCTCTGAACTCCTCCTGTGGTCCGCAGCCGAGCTGACTGCTGCCGTCCGGACAGATGCCCCAGTTGTTACCGGTTCGGTATCGCCACTGAAACACCGACAGATTCTCCAGTTAGCGGCACAGTACTGCCACGGGCGTCACTGAAACATGAAAATATTTCCAGTTGTTACCGGTACCGCTATTGGAACAAAGCAGAGTCCCCGGCTCGTGCAGGCGCCAATTCACTGGGACACATTTCGCTATTGAAACAACATGGCTCATTCATGAAAGTTATCGCTGAAATTAAAGTCGGCCCAAGAGTTTCACTGCCATGTCCTGAAAGAGTTCTGTCATAATATTGCTTATAATTATTAATTTATGTGCATAGGCATTTACCTATAATTAATGCGTGAAACCGGAGTATCCATTAGCGTGCGCTGAGACGGTAGTTGGTGAGGCGCCTGCACGTACACTACATATGTTGTTTTCATTTTCAGTTGCGGTGAAATTTAATTAATCGAGTCTACTTTCTCGGCCATCCGTGGCCTCCGGCTATGATTAGAGGACGCGCCGCACCGACCGCCGGCGTCACTCCCACGTCTTGGCGGTCAGTCGAGCGTGACGCCTCGGCTTGTGGTGGCGACAGTCTCAATTTCATTGCCGTCAGGACTCTGGGTGTCGGTCGCTTGTTTTCTGTTTTACCGTCTTTTCTCCACGTGCGACGAACCGATTGTCTTTCACCCCCGGTCCCGCCCTCCATTAGCTCGATCATTTTAACGTCTTTGGTCTTTGGGTCTTCTTTGTCAAGGTGATGATGAGATATGGTTCCTAAATGAGTGGAATCTTTAGGATCGAAAACTATTTTAAGATTGCCGCTAGTAGTCGAAACATGATGTTCTCATGGCAAGTGAGGTGGGAGTGACAGATACACGTTTCTCTGGACGATAACTGCCCGCAGGTATCAGAAGGAGGGAAACGGAGTGAAAACGCTTAAGACCCAACATCGCTGTATTTTTCTGGTAGGTATCTTGTTTTGCTACAGTGCGACAGATCAGTGAAAGTGAAACACCAATGATCTATCGTTGTCTCCTTACGAAGCATCAATACCCAATCCGTCCTGATCCACATCAAGTCATGACGTGCCGTTTTAGCGGCAGTTTCGCCGGACTGAAAGCCGTGTCTCGGTCACTCGGTCAGCGTCCACTGCCCAGTCCCGTCGGTCGTCAGCAATGTGACAGACGGAGGTCCGTACGGATCTCTCGCGGTCCATCAGCTCTCCCTGCGACTGCAGCTGACTTCGTGACTTAGCAGCGTCATCGGCGACATCAGATACGTCATCAGAGGCGGCGGCGGCGAGGATGACCCAGATGAGACCGCGACGGTTCTGCCCGCCACTATGACCGTCTACCGAAAACCGTCTACCGCCCGCCGCCGCCTTTTGCCGTGGGCGACGGGCGACAGATGGTCTATAAAGCCAACGCCGAAAGCTAGTAGAGATTTGACGCCACCCCTGTAGCCGACAGGGTTGTGGAGCATCGTAACAGACAGGGTGATAATAAACCTGCCCTAGTGCGTGCCTGGTAGGTTGACTGTCCCAGAAGGTGTGCTTCCCAGATACTTCGGCGGAATGGGGGGTGATATCAGGGAACGCACGATGCATGCTCTTCGGTCAGGTACCTTACTTGGTGGCACCTGATTGTTACAGGAGGCGCGCTCTGCGTCAAATGTCATCCTGTTTTGGGAAATGACATTGTTGGAGGCATTGAGTTGCCGGGTGATATTGGTTCAGATGAGGTATTATTGACCGAGGGGAAGAGAGAGAGAGAGAGAGAGAGAGAGAGAGAGAGAGAGAGAGAGAGAGAGAGAGAGAGAGAGAGAGAGAGAGAGAAAGAGAGAGAGAGAGAGAGAGAGAGAGAGAGAGAGAGAGAGAGAGAGAGAGAGAGGCAGAGGAGGTAGAGAAGCCGGGTGCCAGCTGCTGTGACACTAATGCCGTCACTGGGACACAGCCGCTCAGAGTTTCTCGGCACGTGACGACAGCTGTCGGCAGGGTGTGGCCCGGTGGGTGGCCGGGATGGACGCTTCGTGAGAGACCGAGATGTGTTCAAGTGTCAACCGATGTCCGGGAGATATAAAACTTGCAGATTCCGCTCAGCTGTTCGGAGCTAATAGCAGAAATCCGTCCGTGCTTAGGAAGTCCTATTGGTTTTACGTGGCTGATTTCGTATAGCCCATGCATTGATAACGTCTTTTTCTCGACAAGTGACGTTTTAGTGTTACGTTCGAGTCATCCATTGGAATTGAAAATTGCGTCGCTCCCGACCTCACCTAATGGATGTAAGGGCCGGTGCAACTGACCTGGATGACGCAGTGGGCGCAGGTCAGGTCAGCCGGCAGACGGAGTTTGACCCGGGCCATCTCCGACTTTTCTCCGACCCGATACTTTGTGCCGGAGCCGTCAGCTAACCGTAGTAGGTGTCTGTAGGTCACAGTCGGTGTTCACGGGTCACAGTCGGAGGTCACAGACAGCGGTCACAGGTCACAGTCGGTGGTCACAGGTCACAGGTCACAGTCGGTGGTCACAGGTCACAGGTCGCAGTCAGAGGTCACAGTCATGAGTCAGATCTTGCAGGTCATAGTCATTAGCTACAGTTCACTGACAGTGTTCAGAGGCCACGATTCATAATCCTGCAGTCACGGTCAAATACAGTGATCAGACTTCTGCAGGGATAACGGAGTGCAGACTCAGGTCATTTTGGTGTAATGAATCTGTACGGTCTGCCTGGATGTCTGTCTTATCTGTCTTTTTGTCTGTCTATCCAGTAGTGTTTCCGTCTATCTATCTGGAAGTGAGGCACCTACCTGTTGAGACAGGGCTGCGTGGCCTCCGGACGTTCACGGCTCAGCTCGCAGATGCGGAACTCCATGTATCCGCGGTGTGCCGTCGTGACCTCCACCACTGTCGAGATAATCTGTGGAGGGGTCGAAGTTCTATTGCTTGTGATATGGCAGATATCGAAATCTTTGAAACTCTCCGGATTTTCCTCTAAATATATGCGACACACAAAACTTGTTATTGTAAAATAAAATGGGAAAATGGATGTGATTAGAAAAATACCCGCCTCGCATGTTAGCGGCTAGCAGCATAAGGTGAAGTGAAGATCTGGCCCTTTGGGTACCTATGACACATTATATGCTATTTTCTACAAAGTCTGCTCCCGTATCGTTACTGTTATTGCTCGTTTTCACCTCGTTAAATTCCTACATCCCCTACACCATGCAGTAAATCCCGCACGTCACCGCCTACTTTCCCTCCCATCTATCCGCCATCCTCTCCAGGACCCCGAGAATCCGTCCTCCGATCTCCCAGCTGTGATTGGAGATCGGAGCCCAGCCTAATGTCGCTCTAAACAGCATCTCTCCACTTTGTCTCCCTTTGTGACTCGTCTTAGCTCACGGCGAGACGACAAATGGTGGTGGCACCGATCTGTCGGCGCCTCCGCCAGGTGCACGGCTATCGTAGCGCGGCGGCTATCACGGCGCGGTGACGATTGTGGCGCACCTGTCCGCGGCGATATCGGCGCACGATGCCGCCGGTAGCGAAGCGTCCACCTCGCTCGTGTGGCCGCGGCCAGTCGTCCCAGCGGTCACCGCAGATACCGCATCGGCCCCCGTTGGCCAGCCATTGGTACTGAGGAAGGTCGGGTCAGGTCAGGTCACTCAACAGAGTGCTGGTAAGGTGCAGGGGTATGATAAACCACGGTGGTCAATTGTCCGTTATCGGCGTTATCACTTCGCTTGATAAGTTCTGCCTCAGATCAGGCTCTGTTCGAACGGCATTATCAGTTAAATGCGCGTTCGGACTAATCTATTTATAAGAATCAGCTCCTGCTTCAAATCCCGGCTCGTTTCACACAGTACATACAATGAATTAGGGTTGTCTGGATGCAAAAGCATTACAAAAGGATTCTGAACAATAATAATACTGCATTTGGCAATTATGATTCTGTCCTAAATCTACGTTACGGCCATTTCAGCAGACTCAATCCCTTGAGATCGCGCCGAGTCTGCCGATAGTGGTAATGAATGAAGGATAAATGCCCCTAGTTTCGTACTGCCGTTGTAGGCACTCACAAACAGTCCTCCACAGCTGCCCTCGTGGTCCTGGTAGTCAACCGGCGCCTCGAAGCCCATCCTCCACATACTGGCTCGAGACGGCGGCTCCAGAAACCGGGCGTGGGAGAGCACCGGCGTCACCTGGGCAGAGGGCGAGAGTCAGAGGGCGAGAGTTAGAGCAGACACCTGAGTCAGATGGGAGAGTCATAGCGCGGTCTGAGTCAGAGGGCGAGAGTCAGAGCGGGGTCTGAGTCAGATGAGAGAGTCAGCGTGTGATCTAAGTCGACTGGGAGAGTCAGAGTGTGAGATCAGAGTTATCCGAAAGAGTCAGAATGGACCCATGATTCACCTGGGAGAGTCGGGTTGGACCTCTGAGTCGACTGATGAATTGACAGGTCATATCGATGACCCGAGAGAATCGTCACTCAGCTGGACGGTGAATCGGCCGATCGTGGGTATAGACTAGAAAAGAATGTAAACAACGGATAGAACACCTTATTATTGTTCTTCGACGCAACCGGAAAGTGAAAATTACGATGTTACTTGATAAATTGCAATGCAATATGCTCTTAAATCAATTTGTCAATTGCAACCACAAATGGCAGAGTCAGACGAATCCTTGAGTCGGGCGGCAAAGTCAGGGGAACACGGAGTAGCAGAGTGAGTCCAGTTGGTGTCGTCTCAACAGATACTGCCTGAAGTGACCAGTCACCGTCTGAGAAAGCCAGCAACGATGACAAAAGAGGAGAAATAACGGCGCTCGGATAAATAACAGGTGATTGGCTAGATCACAGTCGGCAATGGCACATAGGGTCCGCTGATTGTAATTAATGCCTCAATGGGTCGGGAAAACGGTCGGCCTTGTATTCTAATGGCTAAGCTATGGTGCATGATCAGTTATTCACTGCAATAAGTGCAGCGATAATTTCATGCTTTGCTATTCGTGTACCTATCTAATTGCTCTTCCATCACTATACGTTTTATCTCGTGTTTTCCGTTTCCCATGTGGACGACCGTTTCCGAGACTGTTTTGTGTTTTCCCTGGCGAGCAACTTGGAAGTGCGCGTGCCGCCGGGATAAGGATTATTAGTAGATTCAGGGGGATGCTGTTCGTGATCCTCACGGTCCCACGGGCCGACTGTCGCGTCACCGCCTGTCCCACTCCCATGGGTGTTCCGGCCTTCCACGGGACAGGGGCGGCGGTGAAACACCAGCTTTCATTCGCAACAGGTGGTACCCGCCACTTACTGCCTTATTTATATTGTTTTTTTACGACGCTTCAGGTCCTGCGAAATCACTGGCATTAACGTTGTAGGCACAGCATGATATATGACGAATAACTCGCCAACCACGCTAGGGGTATTACCATAGGCGGATGAGCCAAAAAACCGGACCCAGGCAACATCTCCCATGGGCTTGTATAACTGAGAAGAAAAACATGCTTCGTTCAGAGGAGTACGTTGTACGTGTGAAAATTCTGTTCCTGCACAACCGCGGGGGACGTGGGTCGGATCCGAACACTTTTTAATATTACTTTTTTAAGAAGACATAATCGTACCTTATGATAGCATCAGCGTCCAATTGCGTAATATTACATTATGGAATTAAATCACCTGAATGAAACATGTACATGTATACATATACTTGTGTGCGAGCAAATACAAATGTATGCAAGCAAAATACAAATGTATAATACCTACCTACCTAGCATGTACCCTATTTGCGAGCAGAGCAAAGTACATATGTATATCGAACGACTCTGCAGTGCCAAAGACGGACATTGAACTTGAATCCCTATTAGCTGTGTTGGGTTGCCGCATTCATTCCCTCGTAAATACTCTGCAGGGTGCCGAGTTTACGTAACGTTTCCTGCACAGCTTTCTGGACAGTGGTTTCATGTTCAAACGTAATCTGGTTTAGTCAGCGACACGAACAGTTCTGAATGCCTACATGACAAATTATATAATCGACGCTTGTACCCACTGACCGTTTATTGTGGCCCCTCGGTTTTGCTTCTTATGAAGCATTGAGCACAATTTGTCGTGAACCCAGTTCTTTTCCGCTGACTGGCCATACCAAGAATCTTGGAGTTTGGACCATACACACGAATACTTTTCCTGTTGCATCTCTGCGGGGATTAAAACTATGTGCCACTTTTCTTAAAATAAGCTGTCCTTGACTCCTTGTCCTTGCCATCCTAAGTTGTTGAATTAACTAATTTGGAAAAGGACTAAGTTGCAAAAACTTCCTACCTATTAGGTGGTAATTGAATCACCGTCATACAGGCATCGGTAGGATTGTGATTGCAGGATTGCAAAATCCTGATTGCATTCTTTTTTGGTGGACTGCACCTGGATTTGAAATCCATTCCAAAAAACAGGATTTGATTGCGGATTGGATTGCATCATACTTCCAATTTTTGCAATCCAATCCGGATTGTGTTTGATTAGTGCTTTGAAATGGTTTGTTGCGATTGAAAATTATGAGATCGGCTTCATCGGCTTAATGTACCTACTTTGCTATCAAAGGCATTAATACATCGAAACTTGAAATAATTTAAACGCTTTTAATTTAAACGCTCAAAATAATATACGCTGATGAACTACATAGGAAGAGCAAAATTACGTATTTGAGGGCGAGTTTTAAAAATATAAAACACTGGTTGGGTAGAGGTTTAAATGTGGGGGTGTTTGAGGCAAAAAATATTTCCCATAAAATACCTGTGCCTTAGATAGGAATTACTCGCAAGACTAGGTACTAGAAATGGGTGATTTGGGGATGGAGGCACGGCCCTATGCCCCCCCCCCCTCCCTCCCCCAGATCCACTAGTGCACATAATAATACAACAGGATTGCAAAAAAGGATTGCGGATATGATCACAATCCAAGTGAAAAAGGGGATTGCGGGTAGGAATGCAATCCACTTCGGCACTAAGAATGTGGATTGGGAATGCAATCCTTTCAAAAAGGATTTTACCGATGCCTGCGGCGTCATATAATGCCACAAACGTGACCTTAAGAAGCATGATAATTGCCCTTGTAGGACCCGTATTGTTTCAGTTAGACAAATTAGTTAATTAAGATGCCGACCAGCATTGGTGCATGGAAGTGACGTTTGTTTTATTTCGCTAGCGACGGCGTTTGCTCATTATCTAGCAGAGCTCTGTGGCTTAGGCGATAGCAGGATAAGATAGCGAAGTAATGCAGAATGCTGGCCGCGTAGGTATATGTTTCGCACTTTTGCGAGTTATGCTATGGTGCACATCCTGTTGCGCTTATATAGGAGCTGATAGGTATCAGCGATGCAGGTTGAGTCGAGCCCTCCACGATAGGTACTGATAATTCGTAATATATGCGCTTGTCTGTGATAATAGGCATGCCATTTTATGGCATGTTTTTATCTTTTCAGTTGAGGTGATTCTGAATTCAAGTTTTTCACTCTGCGGTAATTATACCAATACCTGTAGCTATGCCGGTGTGTCGGTTACCGTTGTGAATCAACATTGCAGATGTGCATAAATTAGAACTCATTGAAATCTCTCAACTGGTGAATCATTCGTGTTGTTATACATAGTATAATAGTGTCTCAGCATGTTGTTGTTTTATTGGATACAACAACCCATTGTTTACGTTTCCCATTGTATCCACTAAACAATTGTTATGTGTTGCGGCTTCATGCCCACTTACAAAGATTAGGGGAAATGAAAATCAGATGCCGTTCTGCCTAATCCTTAGACTCTCCCTCCGGTTACCATCCCAGCTACCCAAGCAAACGTTCAATCATTGGCCGTCGAACACTGCATTCGTCACGGTCGGTGTGTCGTATATGCCCTCCATGATGCTGCTGCTGCTGATGATGATGATGATGGTGACTGATTGGTGATGCTGGTTTGATGTGATCAGGTGCACGAGATAGATATGAAGCTGACTCGCGCCCATTTGTTGAACAATGTTATGAATGCTCGGTGTGATCTCGTTCCATACAATGAGTGCACTCTGCAGAGCTGAACAGAGCTGAGCCAACAATGTCTTCCGTGAGTTCCGCTTATATTGAAGAACATGACACTCGAATCGAAAGTTATTCGAACATATACCACGGTATACCTACGGTGGTGTATGTTCGGTGTATTTGCATAATTACGAGCGAGCGAGCGCAGCGAGCGAAGTGAGTCTTTTCAATATAACGGAAAAATCTCAGTATGAGCGGCCCGGCCCGGCCCGGCCTGTAACGCTTTTGAGAGGCTTATATCTCAGCAACCGCTGGACCGATTGGCCTGCGGTCTTTTTTGTTGGGTAGCCCAATCCCTTCTACCCCGTAATTGACTACTTTTGATACATCTCAGTGACCGTCGTGGCACGTGCCACGTGAAAAGTCAAGGGTGTTCAAGCTGTTTTGCAAAAGTAGTGATTTTGAGAGGCTCATATCTCAGCAGCCGCTTGGGCGATTGACTTCCGGTAATTTTTGTAGGGTAGCAGCATCCCTTCTACCCAAAATAGGATACTCTCGAAGCATGTGGGTCACCCCCAGTGCACGTGCAAAATACAACAATAAGAGGTGCCAAATTTGTTTTCATTTCAGTAACTCGGTAATTATTGGGGCGATTTCGCTGAAATTTGGCATACAGGTAGGCACCCACCAGGCAATGCATTCCCATGTGTTGCGGTTAGGGTGCTACTGCACGTGCGCACGTGCAGGGGGTGTTTCCAGATCTCGAGAACGGCTGGGCCGATTGCGCTCAAATTTGGTACACGGTTGGGGACCAGTTAGTAGGGTGCCGTGCAAAAGTCATTTTGGACCCCGTTTGCACGTGCGCACGTGCAGAATGCCGCTTCCAGATCTCGAGAACGGCTGGGCCGATTGCGCTCAAATTTGGTACACGGTTGGGGACCGGTTAGTAGGGTGCCGTGCAAAAGTCATTTTGGACCCCGTTTGCACGTGCGCACGTGCAGAATGCCGCTTCCAGATCTCAGGAACGGCTGGGCCGATTGCGTTCAAATTTGGCACACCGCTAGCGACCGGTTAGAAGGGTGCTTTGCACAAGCCCGTTGGAAGTACAGTGGCGGCGGAAGCAGGGGGGCAAGGGGGGCAGCTGCACCCTAAAGCTATGGAAAGGGGCGCCTCGAAAATCTGTAGAGGAGGCAGGAAGTTAAGAGGTGCGGCAGCCATAAAGCTAAGCAGTGCGACACCGCAACTGATAAAGGCACTTGTGACACGAAGAGGGTGGCAATGACGTGGGAAAAGTATCTTTTGATATGCTGAAGAGTGGAGGGCATCCTTATCTGAAACAAAGGCAGATGCTGCCGACCCTGTCGAATATAATCTTGCCAGGCGATAAAGGCTAGGAGGGCGCAGCCACTCGAGAAGCGCGCCATGCGGAAGAGGGGCGCCTGCATGCGAAAGACTGTGTGTCCTGTGTGTGGGACGAAAAAGAAACATTTATGGAGTCGTCTTTGAAGGCGATGGCCTCCGAACGCCAACACGAACATATGAGGGCTTAGCGTTGCAGGCTCCATGCGACAAAAAGGGGCGCCTGATGGCCGATATGCGAGAGGAAATTAATTTGTGTAACATTTATCAGGGGCGGTTTGCCGTTTACAACATATGAATGTTAAGGGAGGTCCGAGATTGGGGCCTGTAAAATTGCACTGTCCGTATGGGCGGTCACACCCCTAGTGCTAGGGCCTATTTTGCGTTTTTTTTTTTTACTGGGGAGATGATTATGACCAGGAATAGCAATCTGCAAACTTCTATGGGCGCCTGTATAGGGGCGAAACTGATTTTCCAGTGCAGGGACGGCCATCGGCATTGTGGGGCGGCATTCATTCCACTGGGGCGTCTGCCAGTGTTGAAGGGCGGTATTCATTTCAATGGGGCGCCCCGCGCCCGTTGGTGTTGATGGGCGACATGTATCACCTGGGGCGCCTATCGGAGATTGGGGCGGCATTAATTTCACTGAGGCGCCTATCGGCGTTGGCGGCAATAGTGCTGCAATAGTGCAGTGCAGCCCAGGCGGCATGCTGCTCACCGGCCTGCAATTCTCTGTCACCGAGTTAGTGTTATGGATTCGGCGCCTTCTTCACTAGTCCATACGAAGGTGTTGGAACCGTGGAACTCTTTTCGATATGCCTTATTCGGAGAATCTTATGATATGGTGATGAGGTTGTTTCTAAACGAACATTATGAAGGTTACATTTACGCTATGGAATGTACCTAACTATTTCTCGTTACATAAAAACTGTAATTCTGAACGTGTTGATAGGTACACTCGGGGGCAGATTGATGTTCCACCACTCCCTACCCATCGGGCTCCCATGGATCAGCAGTGGCTGCTGCCAATGTTGCCTGCCCTCAGCACTGCTCAGCACTGCCTGCCAATGCCAGTGCTGCCAGTCCTGCCACTGACAGCAGCCAGCGCGGGAGCCATGGGAGCCCGATGGGTAGGGAGTGGTGGAACATCAATCTGCCCCCGAGTGTACAACACATTGTCAAACGTCTCTTCACTGTTTGTGTTACTACAACCGTGTATATGGTAAGGGGCGCGCAGCGGGAAGGGGCGCTTCAATATCGTTTGCACCCCTATCCTAGAATACCTTCCGCCGCCACTGTGGAAGTACCCTCTCGCCGTTCCGCACGTGCAGGGCTCACTATCTCGCTCGCTCGTTCTTCGCCCAAAAGGCGTTTTACTGGTAGTTAATAGATATGTAGATACCTATGCCTACAGCCCTACAGTGGTCTATATTGCTTCAGTTCAAATGATAGGTGTGATCAAGATTGCTTTACAGTACTTTAGACAGAGTAGTAAAGTAATCTTGTGTGATAACCCTTTGCAAACACTCGACTCAGAAGGTACTTGAAGCGAACGGGCTATGCATGGTACTTCCCCCTCTTAATAGAGAAAGGCATGCTCTTCAACTCCTCAGCTTACAGGCTGTTCACTTGAGAATGAGGTGGCCGGTGATTATTTTATTTCTCTTTCCTTACGATGGGAAGAGCGTATTTCGCCCGACTGATGACATTGCGGCACGGCTCATCCTCCCGTCACCCGGATGAGTCCGATGTAACATCACACGCCACTCACCTGAGTGCAGAGCAGCTGCGCCAGCAGTGGCAGCAGCGCGGCCGTCATGTCCGCCATCACCATGTCGCCGGCGCGGCGGTGACGGCCTCGTCTTCACGCCGACCCGCTCACATGGAAGGCCGGTAGGGCATGTAAGAGCGCTACTGTGTCCTTAGCCTTTACCAGTCTACCGTCAGAGACAGCTGATCTGCGCCCAGTCCTTCAATAGTTGACCACCAGTCCGCGGTCAGAGCTAAGATAACACTGCTCGTTGGTCCTCAGTCCACCGTCAGGATGCTATCAGTTCTCAGTTCACCCGCGGTCGGTGCTCACTCCTAGCCTCAGTCACTGGCCGATGACTGATAGATTTGACACGGCTTCACTGCTCGTGTGTGGCCGGTTTCCAGAGCTGTGTGTGAGTCCGAACACCCTCCGACCTTCCCACCCCAGCCGTGACGCCGGCAGACCTCAGCTGTGCTCGATGACCGGGCTCTTCTGCAGCGATGGTGGAGAAGATGCTGATGACGCCCCTCGGTGTGAGGCGTCCTGAATCGTCGACTTTCGACGGCACACGGCGACTGACGGGCTAACTAATAACTACCACAGCAGTCAGTAAGCGATGTCTTCGCTTCCAGTGTCTCGGCTGAACCACCGTTTACGTCTTCTGCATCCTAGTGAACCACTGTCTCTCTTCACTCCTGACCGCTAGCTTTCTGCCGCAGCTCCCACTAGACCACCGTCTTCCCCGACGTCTCCGACTCGTCTCCATGTGCCAGCCTCGTCGCGTCTGTCCCGTGCCGGTCATTTTTCGACCATCTGCAGTGAAAACGTGGCCGCGTCGCCGCCGGCGCGGTGCTCCACATCTGGGGGTGGTGGGTGGAGGTGGAGGATGACTGGGCGCGGCCGGGCCCGCACCTGGCACCCACACCCGGACACACACACCCCTCCCTGGTGGCACCGGCGCCTCCGGGCAGGCCGGCAGCTGAGGCCGAGATCAGGTGCGGAGCAGAGATGCAGCGGCATTGTCTGGCAGACAGCGAAAGGCGGACTGTGCCGGATCGAATACGGGCTGTGACATCGTACTGAGAGATGACCAGAGAGAAAATGGGAGCAATGACTGGGTGTATGGTCTCCGGTTGTCTGTTTGAAGGATGATGTTGATATACCATTTTGTGGGCTGGGTTATTAATGCCTACAATCGCATGTTCCATGTTCGCATGTGTGCCTACTTATTAAAGGGACCCTCCCACCTTCAAAAAAGTTAATGAATTGGCATGAAAGTGATGTCGCTCGGTTCAGAAAGAGCAAAAACGAATATCTACCAAATTTCATCGAAAAATATTCACCGGTTTTCAAGATATTAGACTTTTACTTTTGTTTACTTTTTGGGATCTCCGCTGTTCCTAGCGACTTTATTTGAAAGTGCGGCATTTGTTGCGCGCAGAGCAGCATATACCACCGCGTGCTACCAAACGTTTTAGTAAAAGATTTAAAAATCGTTAGATCTCCGCTGACGTCACAAATTCTAAGGGGGCATACCAATGCACTAGCCCCTTAGAATCCGAAAACTGCAAGTTTGAAATTTCATATCTCCGAATTAAAGCATTTGTCGATGTTGTGAGTGCCCAAACCGGTATTTGCAGGCCATGGCCACCAATTTGGCTATATCAACTCAAAACTAATGTTAAGGTGGGAGTGTCCCTTTAACCCTCGCCGGCACAGGAGGGTTGATGCAACCTCTTTCCTAAGGCCTTTCGCAAATAACTCGCGTAAAAAAGCGGCCGATCGCGAGGAACCTTTCAGTACCTTCGCGTTAATCAATTTTACACCTCACGAAAATTTCATGATGCTGGCCCAAATGACCTTTGACCTGTCACCTATACTTTCCGAGACCATGTTTGGCCGGAATCGCGACTCGGCGTATGTCGGCTCGCATTAGCCGCGGGTTTGCAGCCTTTTCGTGGTTTCAAGCGTTCAAACATGTGCTATGATGTTGGTCACATGCATAAGGGTGGGTGTCAAGGTCATCTGAAGGTCAGGTCAGGTCACTGACCTTTGCTGACCTCGGTTCACCTTTTCGAGTTTTACATGTTTCTAGGCTAGTTTTTGGAGCTGAATTCGAATTTAGCACCCATTTGAACATTTACGAAGTAGTTTTGGTGCCTTATTAACATGTTACGAAGCTGTCAGAGGCGGTTGGCACCTACTACGAATACCCGGCAGGACCCCTGCTGGTTGACCTGACCTGACCTGACCTGACCTGGCCTAAATGCATGAAGGCAACATCTGTGATTAAAGCTAACATGATATTCGTGATCAGCACCCCGAAAAACCTTCTAGAAGCCACACTTTATGACGTTCTAACAGGTCCCGATTTTCCCGACTTTTGGGTCATTGACCTGACCTCAGAGGTCACCATTTGACCCATGACATTAAAACCGGGTACCGTTGGCTTCGTCTCGTGACGACCTACACGTGATGTTTCTTTTCCGCAAGGCTCTGGCTCAATTAGGGCCTAGGGGCCAAACGCGATGGGGGGAAGGAGGTGTCAAGAAGGACGCATTACCAAGTCACCTTGAGAAGCTTCCGAGACTTAGAGCGCTACTGTTGTAGGTAATTGGAAGAATGGCAGTCACCCACCTACCTATACTAGCATATAATTCAACAATATCATTGAGCGACCTTTCAGTGAATGAATGAGCGACCTATGAATGAATGACTTATGAGTAACCTGTCAACAGAACTCAGAAGTGATACACCATCAACATCTTGCATACATATTGCAGCAGCTATCAGTGGATGATTCACCACGGCCAGGCCGGAAGACGCTACGCTTACCACAGCTGTCGCAGCTGTGACGGCATCAGGGTGGACACTCACGGTACCTCACCGGAATGGACCGTCGCCGTACTCCGAGTTCCGGTCGCATATGTGAGCCGCACCGGCCTGACGCCGCCTGAGGCCTGACTTCCCCCGCTGCACTATCTTCAGAGGAAGTTCTGCAATCATCACTCGTCCGGCGTTATAGCTCACGGGGCTGTCGATCGGTCACCGCAGGCTGCAGGATAGAGCTGGCGTTAACCCGCGCCCTGCTGGGGGGTGTGTTTGAACACCCCCCCCCTTGTGGTTTTTCGCGAATATCTCAAAAACGGCGGCGCGGAGCGCCGCCGTTTTTGGTACACCTTATAATGCATCAATTCTACACATGTTGTGAAAATTTCAGACCAAGGTCATTCAAGGTCAGGTCACCAGGTCACTTGAAGTGACCTCACCTCATAAAAACTTTCAATGTCTATCATAGCTACACAGAGTGACCGATCGATTTGAAACTTTCAGCGATTGCTAAGAGCAATAGCATGTACAAAATGTATATCTCAGAATTTTGATATCGATGACCTAAGGTCAGGTCAATTTTGCGACCTCCCCATTATAAGTCAATGGGAGAAAATTGAAATGCGCCTCTTTTGGATGAAAGACATTATAAACACTCCCAAACACCGAATTACAAGTGGTTTATACACACTGAACATGAAAATGGTGTCCGTGACTCTTGTTTATGCCCTGAGGTCATCTTAGGTCACGAATGGTATCTAACAGTTTTTCGCCAATAACTTTTGATAGAGGCATGCTAGAGCGATGAAAACGCCTTAGATGTGTTCAGCTCGACGATACGGATCGACTGATATGCAACATGACCCTTTCCGGTCAGGTCATGACCTTGACCTGAGGTCAAATTTTCAAGTTGACCTTTCAAGGTCAAGTTATAGTTCATTCGATGCGTCTTGACGAGAGGAACACGATGCCGGTAAAAGTAAGCTCGTACAAGGTTTGGGTCAAAAGTTATTGCAGAAAAACTGTTTTCGAAAAAATCGGCTATTTTTGCAGTTTTTGCCCCCTGCAGGCAAAACCGTTGACGTTAGGTCAAATCTGAGAGAATTACTCAGAAAGGGCGTTAATAGGGCTATCGAATGCGCTTTTCCGCGGAGCTGTAGCTCTATTGGTTCCCGAGTTATGCGTTGGCTTCTTGGAAATTTTCGACATTCGACCTGGAAATCGGCGAAATTTTGCCTTAAATGACCTCTGGTGACCTGACCTTTGACCTGACCAAAAAATTGATCGAAGTGATTTCGTCATTATTTTTGACGCTCTTTCGAACGCCGCCTTCCGCGTATCGCTACGTGGCCCAGGAGCCGAGTTACAAGGGGGGGTGTTCAAACACCCCCCCAGCAGGGCGTGGAAATCCAGGACCCCCAGCAGGGCGCGGTGTTGGTTCCCCTTCCGAACATAATGTTGTGGATTCAGCACCCATGCTTGGTGCGCCCGTACAAGCGGCACGATGTTCATGTTAGTCTAGGTACCTGCCGGCTGCCACCGCAGGGCTTGCCGGGGTTCGCTTCATCATATCGCTGATACGGTTATTCGGTTATTATAATTGCGTTCATTACGTAACGATTTCCAAAAGTCATTCCAACAATTATTTTCCTGAAATGCAGTAAGTTTAGATGTGCAGTGTGCACTGTGCAGTGTGCACTGTGCACACTTAGCGGAGAAAGGGTCACACCCAAACTGGAGCTGAAAGTCTGAAAGATGCAACTATTGTCGAAGACTATAGGTAAAAGAGCGGGTCCAATCAAAATTGAGTGGTCCGATCAAACCCATGCTTCCAATCTGCCTCTGCCTGTCATGATAAGAATCTAGTAGGTAGCCAACAACCGGTCACCAGTCCAATGGCCCAATGCATGGCTGAAAATTCAATAAAATACCGTCCGACTACCGATTTTATACAAAATATACCTACAGTCTGTCCCAACTTCAACTTCCCCAATATTTACCCATTGCAGGGTTGTTGCATGATAGTTGTATCTTGGTGTTCTGGATTCTGATTAAAAGATCAGCTGTTTCTTTTGCTGCATATTGTCATTTGCAAGCTAAGCTTAGCAGCTTTTTAACGTCAGATGAGAGTGACAAAAATTGCGCTTTTGAGTCAAAACATGTTTTCAGCTGACTTCTTTATTTCTGTGAATTCAATCACACTTCAACTTGTCGTCGGCTCCATGGGCTTGTGGTGATTGTTGTGGTGTGAGAAAATAGGCTGTTTTCGGACACATTCTTTCACGTTATTGGTGAGTAATTTTATATATCGCTGTTTTTTTCAAAATAGATACGGCAGTGCACTGCTTTATCAGGCTGCAACAGTGGACCAAGAAATGGCTGCTTACCTTCAATGAAGACAAATGCAAGGTGATGCATTTCGGGACAAAAAATCCACTGTACACCTACTCAATGGGGGACACCACTCTTACCTCAACCATTAAAGAAAAGGACCTGGGAATCACAATAACGCCAGACCTCAAAGTATCAGAGCAGGTTACGAGAGCGGCAGCTGCAGCGAACTCCATGCTGGGAAGAGTGAAGAGGACATTCACCTTCATGGACAAGGAAATGTTCCTGCCAATTTACAGAACACTGATACGCCCTCACATGGAATATGCCATCCAAGCTTGGTCCCCGTTTCTCCAAAAGGATGTCAACAGGTTGGAGAGGATCCAAAGGAGAGCGACAAAACTCGTACCTGAACTCGCCAATCTCCCTTACCAAGATCGTTTAGACCAACTGAAACTGACATCACTGGCAGATCGAAGGGTTAGAGGGGACATGATTGAAGTCTACAAGCTGGTCCATGGACATGACAAGGTGAATGCTGGAGAAGAGTTTTTGAAACTAGAGACCAGTACAAACAGGGAAAGGACACGCGGACATGCTCTCAGACTGCAAAAGCCAAGGCATCGGCTGCACAGACGCAATCAATTTTTCTCCTCAAGAGTTGTGGACCAGTGGAACCAACTGCCTGAACATGTGGTACTGAGTCCAAGCATCAACGCATTCAAGAACAGATATGACCGTCATATGACACTGAGAAGAGGCAGCATCCTATGAGCATCCGCTCCCTATGCCTCTTTCCTATCTACTATGGTGAGCATCTACTATGGTGAGCATCAAACTGAAGTGCCCTGCCGGTCGATTCGCTTTGTATTTCCATTTTGACGTTCTTCCTAATCCTGCCTCATGCTCTGGCTTTGTAATTTGTTGTAGCTAGGCTGAGGTTAATTTGTTCTGTGATTTCAATTTGAATTAAGTTATGAAAATTTTGCTGGGATGCAGTATGCATGTTAAAAAAGATTTAACATTTTTAATGCAATGACGAAAGAAACCACATTATCATTCCCAATCCCATACAAGTCAAAGTAACACATGTCAAGATCCATGGTTTGTGACATGATTTTTTCCTCTGGCACATGAACAATGGCACAAGTCATTGAGTACTCACCTGTTTAACTCACCTGTTTGGTTTCCCTGCCCGGCCCAATGGAATTGGAAGGGGGAAGGAAACCGTGTATGATAGAGACGCGCCAACGCCCCACGTTAGATGTTTCTTAGGAGAAGGACTCGTGCAGGTCGGAAAAGTGTGTCTGCATAGAAGCATGTATGAGTAGATGGGTCGTTTTGACAGTGAAGTGTGTGCACTGTGCAGTGTGGTTCTTCGCGGTCCAAGGTTTATTATTCATTCGTGTGCTGTTTGAATCGTTTGCGTTTGAAAGTGCTATATCTATCTTATCTTCAAATATCTGTTTGCTCTCACTTTGCAGAGTTAGAGTGCTGATGCTGAGTGCCCACTTCACACTATTAGACACACTATATCACACTATCAGTATTCTTTTGTGATTTTCCATTTATTTGAGAGGTCAAGACACCTCTTGCTATTGCATAATACTCAATTCAAATTAGTATTTAGTCATTCTGGCAGTGCAGGCAGATGTCCGCCGTGCAGTGCTATGGTTATCACGTTTTTAGCTGTCACAGGTGTCGTTATCACAATTATCAGATCAGAAGATGAAGAAAAGTTTTAAGTAAGTTATCAATAGTGGTGCCTGTTCTTAGGGATACCATGTGACCACACTAATTAGTGACATATTTTCATTTTATTTGCTATGATGAGTATATATTTTTTCCCTATCATGAGAGGACTTAAGCTGAAGAGAAGCTGAAGGACACATGATTTACCTAATAGAACAACTCCTGTTCTGAAATGAACGAGCAAGTTGAAGTGTGGAACATAGGGGGTGGAACGGGCAGGGCACCGGGGTACTTTGCCCCCTTTGATTTGGGCATTTTAACATTAGCCCTATGGACATTGCATGGAAAGAATGGGACCAAGAGTTGGCAGTGCCCACTGCCCCCCCCCTTAATTGAAGGTGTTACGCCGCTACTGGTGTGGAAACCATCAGCACTGGACCAGCAGTATCAGTCAATTTGTTCTAAGTTCTTTTTTATCACATGCTATTAGCTATTGTACTCACAGTGCTCCTGTCTGATATTTGTAGCATGCTGTTACACTGAACAATTCTCTCCTTTTCTGACTATGTCTGACAATGCACCTTTTCCCTGCCAGAGTCATCTCTGCACCAGCGGCGGTATGGCTGCCCTGCGCTCCTGTGTGCGTCTGGTGCCGGTGTCTCGGCCGGCCGGTGCGCGTCGCCTCTCTGATGGCGCCTGGCCTCACGGCGAGCGCGCTGCCGAGCGGGCGCGCACGCAGCACATGACCAGCTACTACAATCAGGCGGCCATCGACACGGCAGCCGCCAAGGTCTGTTCGCCGCCCAGCGGAGGCGTGCTCTGTCAGTCCGCTCTGGCGGTGGGGTGTGTGTTGTTCTAGTTGAGGGTCCCTCAGATAATATTCGTCCTTTGTCTGATAGCCTCAGTTGGTATATTGTTTGTGGATGCGTTTATGTGCTGTGTTGGATCGGTTCAGGGCTATAATTGGACAACAAACCGTTTTGTCATAATTATCATATTCGTTTCTGATAAAATATGTAGGAATATTCACAGAATTATCAGTTCATATGTCAACTTGTCTGTCCCGTAGTTCAGTTGATAGAGCGTTGGACGCCCGGTAGTCAAAGCCCGGGTTCGAGTCGCTCTGGCGCTCGATATTTGAGACTCCTGACGGTGATGGTCTGCGGTTGGTGGGAGCAGCCGCACCCAGTTGAAGTCAGTTGAGTGGGACAGGCCGTGTCCGGCTTTGAAGGACACGTTAAACTTTGGCATATAAATTATCCCGTTACCTGGATTGCGCAATCGGACGGAAGGTGTCGGGGTCCACGCAACAAGCTCTGCTTAGCGTGGGCTTCGGATCTGCCAACACGTCCATTCAAACATTCGAGCTAAATTTATTTAAAAAAAAAATTGCGTTGTTGTTTTCAATGATAGGCATTATCATTGAAATTCGTCAGCTGGCGCCTGACTATGGCGGCCGCGGCGCGCGACGCTCCGTGTTTTTCTGGTGTTTTTCGCGTTTTGGCCGGGTGCTGAGCGCTGAACGAGTGCAGAGACCGAGTGAGAGACTGTTTTTACCGAGTGAAGTGACTTTTACCCATCGATCATTAGTATTTTAGCCATATCAATGTGTGTTTACATTGTCGCCCGGCACTGGATATGGGCCGCGAACCCTGGCCGGCCGGCGTATTTACAAATTGCAACCGAGCTCCGCCGTAGGGTATTTTATTTCCGCCGTAGTGTATTTCAGTTGGGGTATTTTCTACCATACATCCGCCTGAGCTTGGGGTAATTACAATTTGTCGGCGACGTTAAAAAATGATGCACCTTTTTTCGCAGTATAGGTTATCGCATGTGCATATTTTTGTCTTTTTGGTTGCGCTTTTCCCTCGCCGGTATAGGGGGAGGCGTTGAGCGGACCCCATCGGTTTTTCGTGAGTAACTCGCGTAAAAACCGTCCGATCGCGACGAAACTTTCAATACCCCCGATTTTATCAATTTTACTCCTGGCCTGAAAATTTCATGACCCTGACCCAAATGACCTTTGACCTGTGACCTATTTCTCGAGGCCATGTTTGGCCCGAATCGCGATTCGGCGTATGTCGGCTCACATTAGCCGCGCGTTTGCAGTCTTTACGTGGTTTCAAGCGTTGAAATATGTGATATGATGCTGGTCCCATACATTAGGGTGGGTGTCACATGAAGGTCAGGTCAGCTCAATGACCTTTGATGACCTCGGTTCACTTTTTCGAGTTTAACATGTTTCTAGGCTAGTTTTTGGAGCTGATTTCGAATTTAGCAACCACTTGAACATTACAGAGGGTGTAACGAAATTATCCGGACATCTTTCTTCCCGCTGTAATTAAAAAGCAAAACATTCTGGTACTTTTTATTTTGACTGAGCATGTAGCCACCTTTCATAAAAACACAGTGGCGAATGTTTTGGAGCATTTCAGCCAATGTATTCTCCAGCACACTGGCTTTGATGCGGACCAACGCCGTCTAAACCTGTGGCAGCGGTTGGGCGGTGCTTGTGGCGGGCGTCTCTTCAGTCACCTAAGCCGTAATCGCCACACCATATGTGGAAGGCTTTTGGTGTCAATACATACATACATACATACATACTGAACAAGAGCCCACAGGTTTTCGATTGAATTGGGATCGCGACTTTTTCCAAGTCATAAGCGTTAGCCCAGAATGATTGAAGGTTCTATCGGCATCACTTCCCGTTCTTTTAGGGACTTTTAAGTAGCGCGCCGTCCCGCATGAAGACAGCGTGGCTTGAATCAGGCATCAGTGCGCGTTCAGAAACCGAGCCCTCAGGCGCTCAACCAGACGGTATAGGAGGGCCTCCTATACCGTCTGGTTGAGCGCCTCCGACTATTCATTGGCCAGTATGTTTCTCCGGTAATACTTGACGTTGATGGCGGTATTTTGTGACACTATGTTCTATTGGAGGATCGCTAGGCAGCTGAACATGCTCCAGTTCTGGATGTTGTCCGGATGTTTGACGGCGGCGAAGGCCAGGAAGTTCGAGCGGCTGGCCGCCCATACATGGCCGATTTGACGGTTCAAAAGATAATACAGCTCGAACGGCTACCCATCCAACCAGACCACCTCACCCTTATCATTCTTCAACCAGTGGACGCGATCTGGCGTGAGGCGAAAGGTGGTGAACTGGTTGTTTTCCCGTCAGTTTCGTTGTCTTTTTCAGTTTGAAGGGCACTAGAACCAAGTTAAAGGGCGGGTAGCGGTAAAGCATGATATGGGATCTCTTATTATCTGACTTGGTAAGAATTCGAGTCAATTTGCGGATTGATTGGTGCCGTTTCCTTGCCGCTATCTTGATGACTCTCCTCACCACTTGGCAAAGGGCGGCTTTTGTGGTCACGACTGGGCTGAGTCTGCCACCGAAGTCCCAGATTATTACACCTCAGGCAGATGTGCAATTGGCTGCTGCTGATGTCCAGCTGCTGGCAGACCAGCTTCTGGCTCATGACGCCGTGGATGCCGCCATGCAATTTTACCACGAAAGGAGAGATTGCATCCCTTTCTCGCAACTGCCTTGGACGAAAACTACCATGTGAACCCGTCTGCGAATCGACTCCTACTCAGAGCAACAGTCACATGACAAGGTCAGGTCACTGCTGAGTTGAAAACCGATAGCAGAGGCACGTATTCATCCAATATCCCCACTTCTAACATCAGGAAGGATTAGGAAACTGTGCAAACAGATATGGCGAAAAAATAGATGTCCGGATAATTTCGTTACACCCTGTACTGAAGTAGTTTTAGTGCCTTCGTAACATGTTACGAAGCTGTCAGAAAAAAAGCGTTCTGCCCCTCCAACTTTTGCTTATTTGTAGAACTTCGTTGCTTAGCAAACCACTATGTTGTTGGCATTGAGGAGCTTTGAAATGTCTGTGTAATTCAAAATGTTAGTTCTGTAATTAAAAGAATTGATTCAGTGTTGCACATAATCTAACTTAACAACCGAGCATTGCAGGTTTGACAGCTTTTTGCCCCACCAGCACCACCTTCGCTGGAAAAGCTCCACCCTTGCCTATGGGGCAAAACATAAGGGACAAAAACACAAAACAAGACAGATAAAAAACAACACAAAATGAACTCATTGCCTAATGAAGTTCAGTCTGGAGCAAAAACATAGGTAATAGGCATCTATGTCAAATTAGAATGAAATATTAAAATCAACTTGACCAGGTCTTACGGTCTGACCTGATCCTGACTGCCTTACTTCACCTAACCCCAATTCAACCTAACCTACCACAACACCTGCAGAGGTACCTTCCTGGAAAATCACGCCCAGGGAGGTGTCCAACTTATTGGAATATTACCATGATTGCTTGTCAAAATGTGTGTCATCATGCACTCTTGTTTGACAAGTGATGTATAATAAATGTGACATTCAAAAATGACCTCCTGACTGTTGAGTGATTAGAATCTTCAAATAATCAGGGTACAATGCTGTGCATCATAGTGCACACTAGTCATGTTGTTTTTGTGTAGGCCCTCTGCACATTATTGTGTACACTGCCATGTGCACCTTAAGGAAAAAAAGTGACTAGTGGTGCATAAAAAGGTTGTGCAATTGTGAAGTTCATGCCCTTGGTCTTGCTGGAGCCAAATGCCTATAGCTATAGCAGGATCAGTGAGGGTTGTAGACATGCTACATACACTGTGAATTGAAGATATTGGCACAAAGTTCACCCATAGGTAATTACTATGCTTAACACCTAATGTAAGAAGCAACATAAATGCCCAGATGATACAGCAACAGCTCTCTGGTCAACATCACACAAATTTATTGACATACTTTGCAGGTACATATTTACATTCATAGCAAATACTTTCGATTTGATTCAATAACTAGGTGCTAGTAAGCTTGCATTTTTGTAGGTACAACAATGAACATATATTTAATCATAAAAAACTTTCTCATGGCATTAATCACATACCTTTTTACCGAACAAGTACCTACCATGCAATGATTCTAAATTTTGTCCGCAAAGTGTACCTATATCTCAACTAACACATTGAAATTGAAATACCCTAACAAAACCTAGAACTGTACAAAAGGAGAATACAATTCTACAAGAACTATGAAGTTCTGAAGTTATTCTCACATGCTGGAATGTTGAAACTCTACTTTTGTCGTCCATTTCCACGTTTCATTGAGCAATCATATAGAACTGTTTTCGCTCTTCAGTCATAAGCTTTTGCACAATTCTTGAATTTTTACACATCATCTTGAACCATGCTCCAGTCTTTCCAACAAGGTACTATGGAACATCAAAGCAATTTTGATTTGTTGCAACAGCTTCAGATCATGATAGGCTTGAAGTTTGTTACACCATTTGCCAGACAAACCTCTACAAAATGTGTATCAATTCCCAAACTAAGCAATTGATTATATCAGTATTTGCGGTTTCCACACAATGTTTCATAATATTATTCGATTTTTATATCAAGAAACCCAAATAATCCACAAATTGTTATTGAAACACTCCCACTTCAAGAGTTCACAGCAATAACAATACAAGTTCAGAAGCAAATAAACATTGCGCCAGATTTCGTATGAAACGCGCCATCATCCTGAAGTTTCTACCACAGACGGTAGTTCAACCGCAGCCGTAGTGCGAAAACCCCTGCCCACCTTACCCCACGGCGGAGCTCGGTTGCAATTTGTAAATACGCGGCCGGCCGCGCCGCATTCTACCGGTCTGGGAAGAGGAGGAGAGACTGTCCGCCAATCAGCGAGCCACACCACTCTCCACCGCGTTCTACCGGACC